TTATTTTTTCCATCGAGAAAACTATAACTTTACTAAATTTTATTTCTTTATTCGCAAACAAATCTTTGTTTTAAAAATAATAATAATAATAAAAAAAAAAGCAACAACAACAAAAAGACATCACTTAACTATGCACATGTGACCAGATCATGCAGAAAGCATTCCTCTTAGCAGGAACTCCTTGTTTTTAACACTTAGTATGGTCAGGATTTAATATTTCTGCAACTACTTAAAGGATCCTTAGAGCTCTTACGGCTTTTTTTTTTTTTTTCCTGACGTGTCATTTCTTACCGTCCTGCTTTTCGAAAGACGCTTCTGCAGCAGGATCAGCGACTCTTTTTAGCTTCTGGGTAGGGGCAAACCTGGTTTGTGCCGAGACGCAGATGGGGACGGAGCTTCCCTCCCGCGGGGTTTAAGCGTAAAACCGGCGTCGCGGAGGGGGACGAGATGAAACGCCGAACTCCAGCCGGGCCCTTGCTCCCCGCGGAGATTTCCCGGACGGTTTTACACAGGGTGCTGTGCCTCCTTCTGCCTTGGCCACGGTCTTTTTTTATTTTTTTCCTTGTTTTTCTTTTTTTTCCTTAAACTGTATCGACGAGCATGCCTTTACTTTGTATATGTGGTGCCAAATTCCTGTTTGCCATCGTTTTGCCCGTAGCACTGTTCAGGACCAGTCAGTACATTCCTTCACCGAACCGTCGCATCGAGACTCTTTGTTTTTTTTTTTTAAATCCCCTCCCCTCCTTCCCACCCCTCGGTTTGTCACGTGTACAGTTCCGATCTGTTAGAGTTGTTGGCAGTATTAAAATGGTGAGTAAAAACAGTTTAGCCTTTTCTCTAGTTCATTCTTAATTTTTCCTCTCCAGGAGCTTTTTTTTCACCCCCTCCCCTCCCTGTTTTGGGCTTTCCTGGAGAAGAAGGGAAAGTGTTTTGTTGGAGAGTGGGTGTAAAATAGAATCATAGAACGGTTGAGGTTGGAAAGGACCTTGAAGATCATCTCGTTCCAACCCCGGCTGTGAGCAGGGACCCCTCTCCCCCACCAGCCCAAGTTGCTCCAAGCCCCGTCCAACCTCGCCTTGAACAAATCCAGGGATGGGGCATCCTTTGGGCAAACCTATTCCAGTGCTTCACCACTCTTGGTGGTGAAGGATTTCTTCCTTTACAGATAGGAGTAACGGTGGAGGAACGTTCCTCGTGCTCCCTGTGTTGATTGTGCCTCTCCCAAAGGCAAGAAGCGGCGGGATTATTGACAGAAGGTTGGTTTACACGCTTATTTATAGCGCCGGGCTCGCTCTGCCCCTTGTGAACCCCGACTGCTCGGATCTGCTGGAAGCTGGTGTCGGCGTCGCCCATTTCGAAGCTGGAGCGAAACGCTTCAGGGATGCTCGTGGGTGCTGCCGTGGGGTGTGTGTGCCGGGTGTCGGACACACAGAGGGGTTTTCTGTCCTGCCATGAGCTCTGCCTGCCTGGTGATTCCCTTCCAGCCAACCTTCAGGCTTTGCTCCGCCTTGGCATAACTCGCCGTTTAGCCGAATTGATGGAAAACTCCCCTGGGAATCGGATTGTGACAGCACGGTGCTCCCCAGCTGGTGCTGGAGACGGGGTCCATGTTCCACCCCTGAGCTTGTCCCAAGTGGCCGGGAAGGTTTTGGTGACCTGATGGCACCTGACACCGATGCCTCTGTCCTCAGCGGTGCCCGGGGGGAACAGTGGTGGCAGATCATAGAATCCTGGAATGTCTGAGGTTGGGAGGGACCTTGGAGCTGATCTCCAGGGGCAGGGACACCCTTAACCAGCCCAGGTTGCTCCAGGTTCATCCAACCCGACCTTGAACATCTCCAGGGAGGGGGCAGCCACAGCCTCTCTGGGCAATCTGTTCCAGAGTCTTTACACCCTCATACTGAAC